AGCGCGAGGCCCCCGGCGCTGGCCAGTCCGAGGCGCCGCCGGCGCGCCAGCAGGATGCAGGCCATGGACACGGCCGCGGCGGATTTGTACGAGGAGGATGGCAAGGACCTGGCGGGCTACGACTTCGAGCCGCTCCCCACTCTGCCAGAGGACGAGGTGAGCCCCGGCGCCCGCGGTGGGTCCTGCCTTCCCCCACCTTCTAGGGAGAGTCCGGGGGAAGGTGCCCCCGCCCCCCCAGGTCTCCTGCCCCTGGCCCAGGTCTTGGCAGCCGCTCTCAGCAAGCCGCCACCGTCCTTTAGCATTTGCTCGGAGAGGACAGGCCCCCTGGAATGCCACATGGGACAGCAGTGGGTGGGTGGTCACTGAAGAAGTTGGTGCCCTGTGGGGTGGGGGGCTGGGGGGCTCCTGACTATAAATGTTGGATGGATGAGTGTGGTTTGGGGCATCGTGAGGGGGAGGAGGGGAGGGAGGGGGATGGCTGTTTTCTTCCTTGCCAGCACCCTAGGAGGTCAGCTGGAGGCACCAGCCAGCAGAGCCCAATCCGGCCAGCAGGTTCAGGAGCTGGGGTGGAGGTCTGGGAGGCCCCCCCAGAACAGAGGGCTGCTTCCTGCACAGAGAGGACAACAGGGGCCTCCACTCAGGATCCTGAGTCCTGAGGCATCCCCCTACCCAAGGCTCAGAGGGACCAGCAGCCTCCATCACATGGAGCTTCTGGTCATGCACTGGACAGGTGCCCACAGAACCAATTTGCCTGTAACTCTGGCTTCCCTAGCACACCCCACAGGCTGTGGCTTGGGGTCAAATGAACAAGCCAGGTCCCTCCATGTGATAGGTGACCCCAGAGGATGCAGCCACTCCCAGGAAGACCCAAGGCTATGGGGTCTGGGTGGATGAAGAACCTTCCGCGCCTCCAGCAGGCAAATGCCCCAGTCTCCGGGCTTCTGTGCTCACAGCTGAGGAATGCTGGCATCGAGCAGCCATTCATGGGATGGGCTGTAACCAGCCTGGTGCTGATGAAGACCCTCCGACACCCACCTGAGCAAGGCTGGCGGCCAAGAGTTAGACATGGCCACCATCCTCCTGGAGTACGTCAGGGGGTGCATAGGGGCTGCAGCTGCAGTCACCAGGGTCTTCCACCTCTGCCTGCCCCCCGGTTCTGGAGGAGAGCTGGCTATAAGGATGGAGTTCATGCTGGGGAGGCACCATCTTGGGCAGTGGAGTCTGCCGTAGGAAGCGGGAGGCTGGCCGGTCAAGAGCCTCTGAGGCTGTACCTGAGGGCTGGTGTTCCCTTCCCCCGCCAACCTGCCACCGCCATGGTGGCCTGGATTTGGTAAGAGGCAAGGCTGCAGAGAGGAGAAGCAAGAGAATGAATAAGCCTTTGGGCATCTCCATGGCTTTGATGGAAAATGAAAGGGTGCACCCAGCTCACAGCCGTCAGAGTCTCCCCCAGAGGACACATTTCAGTGGATCCGTTAGAAGACTCACCTCCAAAATCACCATCCAAAGCAGACGTAGAATGTGGTTCTTCATACAGAACCTTGTTGTGTCAGCCACCCCACACTTTGAGGGCCTCCTTTGTGCCCCGTGCAGAGTCAGCGGCTGGTGCCAAATAAACAGAACAGCAGGGCCAGGACCCAGACCCAAAGCTGGGTCCCTGCCATGGTCTGTACTCCTGTGTGCACTGGTGCCTTCTCTGGGTTGGGGTTCCCTCATGCCCCTCTGGGTCGGAGCAACCCCCCAGCTGTGCACACTGCATAGGGCTGGGGGTTTCCATCGTCCCATGACCGAGGCCTCCAGGGGACGTGGGATGCCACTGCATTAGCAGCATCCACTGGGAAAGCGCGGATGGGCCCCTCGAACTTCTCCACCTTTTCTGGGAGACAGAGACGCTGTCTTTGGGTATGCTCCCATAAAACTGGAAGCCTGTCCAGGCTTGAGCCTTGGAGCCAGACCGATGTCCCGTACCTGCGAACACACTGGTCCAGACTCGATGCTTCCTGCACACACTCCGTTGGCGTTGAAGGTTTTAGGTCTCCATCAGACACGTGACCGTGCCTGCTACAGCATATTATAGAGCCAGGCTGCATCTGAAAAGCCGTCCTGTAAGATGAGGGGGAGCCAGGCTGCATCACCAGCCAGGGTGGGCCATGCTGCCGCAACCCCGGAGAGGGCCAGGCCGGAGGAGACACAGGGCAGCTCCCACAGAGGGACGGCGGGTGCCAGACCCAGGACGTGGACAGAGTAGTTCACAGTTTGACCGCTGATCATAACAACAGCCCATACAGCAAGGTCAAGGCACAGGACCCTACCCCCCTGCCCAGGAGCCCCTTGGAATGTTTCTCTGGTTGTAACCCCGGAGAAAATCCAAGTGGCCGGTAAACATGAAAAATGCTCAACTTCATCATCATCAAGGAATGCGAAGACACCCACCATGAGGGCCTCTCAAGTGCGAGTTGGCAAGAATAAAAACTGGGCAGTGGCCGAGTCGGCAGGGACTGGCCTGGCACCGGACGCCCCCTTGCCGGAGTGAGTGTGCGTGGAACAGCCTCTCTGGAAAGCAGCTTGGCATTTGATAGTGGCCTGGAAGATGGCTGCTCCCTGTGTCCCAGCAGCTTCACCCTGGGTGCGTGCCCCGGAGCACTCTCTTAGCCGGAAACCCTCTGGGGCAGGTGGTGAGTGGGCCTCCGGTCCTGGAGGTTGTCGCCCAGCCCAGTCTCTGGCCTCCTGCAGGTGGTGAACCTACATGGGGACCAGCAAAGGACATGGATGAGGGATCAGGAAGAGCAGCGGCTGCAGGAGGGGTGGGTGCCGGGCCTCCCAGAGGCCGGTGGTGCCACCTTCAGGGGCCTGCAGGGGACAAGGACAGGGGCAGGCTTGGAGACGAAGATGGTGCGCTGGTTTGGGCCCGGGGGCAGTGTGTCTCCTGGTCCCTAGACTCTTCTGAGTTTTAAGGAGTCTTCTCATCCCTTCCACATGCAGAGAGCACCTCCCCGGCATTTGTGGGCTGGGCGCTGGGCTGGGCCCAGGGATTTGGAGGTGGGTGGGGTCCATGTTGCCGCCGAGAGTAGCCCACAGCTCGGGGGTGCCCTGTGAGGAAGCAGATACTCCCACTGAGCCCTGCTGGGTCCATGTGAGGCTGCTACCCAAACAGCACCGAGCTGCAGACAACTGGGAAGCCAAGGAGAGCTTCGTGGTGGGTGATAGTTATGAGTTGGAGGGGGGCACTTTAGGGCCAGGGGTAAGACCCCCAACAGGGTACTCTGCAGAGCCTCCCAGGCCTGGGGGTCTGGTAGGTTGAAGGAACCTGCCGGCAGGCCCGGAGATTGTCAACAACTGTTCTCAGCAGTGATCTGGGTTTCGTGTTGGCAGTTCCTACTAGAATGCTCCAAGGTTGAAAACATTAACATCTAAGAGTATGTTTGAAATCTGCAAGAGCGATCCGTGGGTCCCCGTGGGTCCCCGTGTAACCCTGGCTCACACACTGTCTCTGAAGGAGGGCAGCGGGGTGTCTTCAAGGCACAGAATCTCCTGGATGGGCACACTTTGCCATAACTGGATAAGGGTCTTACGGTGGGAAGCCAGCCCTGCCCTCTGAGACCCAGGGACTGGCTGATGAGGGGCTGCCCTGGGGAGCCGCCCGCCCTGAGGGGTGCCCTTCCTCCCAGCCCTCACAGGGTAGTAGAGCTTGAGCCTACAGGATCCCTAGGGAAGGACAACTCTTTCCTGTCCTGCAAAGACCGTGACTTAGGTGACCCTCACCCTCAGGCCTACCCCACATCCCACCCAGGCAGCGCCTTGCCGAGGGACAGAGAGGGTGGGGTTCCTGGACCCAGGTCCCCGCACAGAAGACTAGGTCGGTACTCAGAAGGTAGAGCCACCAGAGGCTGCCCAGCAGTGACAAGGTCAGGCCGCGTTGGCGGCGGCAGGGACAGCTGCTGTGTGGGAAGTCATGATGCGTCTGGCCGCGGGCCCTCATGGGTGGTGGGCATGTGGGTGCCCCAGAGGTGGGGCTACAGACAGGCATCAGTGGGCGCTGGGGCCGACTTTACTATTCATAGCATGTCACCTCCTTCTGAAATGTCTGCCTCAGCCAGTGATGCTCTTGTCCATCCTGCCCAGACCCTGTGGTGTCCCTGGGGCGTGCAGGGCTGACCTGGCAGCAAGACTCAGAGCCCCGGGGTCCCGGAGATGAGCACCAACGTGCAGGATGCCCACGTGGCTCCCGTGTGTCAGGGTGGCCCAGGGGGTGGGGGCGTCCCTGGGATTCTGGTGGAGATGGACTGAGGAAGTCTGAGCAGCAGGTACAGGCTTCCCGGTCTCTCGTCCTTGTTCCTGCCGGTCCACTACCAAGTCTCATCCCGTCCGCCCTCCTTGGGCCACGGCTTCAGGCAAGCGAGGGTCATTCCTCCAGCCAGGGTGAACTGGAAGGGCGGGTATCAGGTCCCAGAGGACAGGTGACCATGGGGTCCGTGGTTCAGGGTCCCCCAGCACTTGGTGAGACGCCCCCCAATCTTGGTGTGCCCAGGAGAGCCAGTGGCAAACCTCAGCTCTGTCCTGGAACCACGCCAGCTGAATCCTGCCTTCCCGGCAGAACAGCTGGGTTTCAGAGGGGCCGAGAGCATCTTGTCTGTGAATCGGGGCTTCAGCCATGCACCGGAAGCAATGACTCAGGACCCACAGATTCGCTCTATGAAGTCACGCAGACAGTCCCCCCATTTAGATGCTCACACCGTGAATAGGCACTGGGGCTCCCCCCACAGGGGCATCTTCCACTGGACAGGGCGGTGGGGAGGGGCCTTGAACAGGAAGCCATGCCCCGTGAGATGCCCTGTGGGCACCCCTGGCCTGGGCTCCCTTCTCTTGGGGAGCTCCCACAGAGGGGCGGCGGGTGCCAGACCCAGGTCATGGACAGAGGAGTTCACAGGTGGACGGCTGATCGTAACCACAGACAACCTCCGGGACCTGGGGCAACAGCTGCGTGAGCGGGCGCGTGCGGCCGGGGGAGGCGGCCACCAGCAGGGCGTCAACAAGGCCCCTGCAGTGGAAGCTGGCTCAGACTCACAGTGTGGGCTAGCTTTCTTCTCCTAAATAGCACAAAACCACAGGGTCTCTGGGTTGTTTATTAGCGTGTGCCTGTGTGCATATGTGCACGTGTGTGTGCATGCACGTGTGTGTGCATGCACGCACTCCCAAGACACCCCTTTAATGGGCCCCACAGGCACATCCTGGGGAGTCCCAGGGTGGTGCATAGCGACCCCTAGATTGAGCCAAATCAGAAAGACCTTTTATCCGTGACCCTCAGGAACACGGCAGGGAGATGGGGAAATTGAGATTTCCGGGTTTGCTAGCCCCCTCCACACCCCAGTCTAATCTGCTTTATGCTCTCATTCTCCTTTTAAAACTCCCAGACCACCTTCCCCACAGGGGTGCACATATTTCTGGAAGCTGGCTGGCAGCTCTCTGCTCTTGCATCTGCATGAACCCCGTGGCCCCTTCTTCCTGAACCAGCTTCCAACGGGCTGTGCTTCCCTCATCCATCTACCCCACAGAAAGAGCTAGAAGGGCCTGGGGGTGATGTGGAGGCCCAGTCCCGGGGTCCCCCTCCCATCACCCCACCCTGCTGAGCCCAGAGGCTTAGCCAAGACGCCCACGGGAACCACTCCCTGATTTATTTTCTCTCTCTCTCCCTTTCTTTCCTTCCTTCCTTCCTTCCGCTCCTTGTCCCCTTTGCCTGTAGTTGTGGGGATCCCTTGCAATGCAGGTGGGGGAAATTCGAGGGCAGGAGCTAGGAGACTTTTCATGACCAGACAGCTTGGCCGCACTCGGAGAACAGTCCTATGTGCTGGGAGGGGTGGGGCGGCTGAGGCTGGAGACAGGAGGGAGCTCAGTCTTCTGCACCATCTCCCCTGCTCCCCCTGTTCTCCACCCCCTCTCCTGACCCCCCCTGCGTGCTCCCTGCAGGCTCCGGCTCCCCCCATGCGGGCCTGTGGAGCACAGACACGTGGGCACAGAGAGGTGGCTAGGGCATCGAACAGCAGGCCAGCTTAGGGCCTGGAGATCCAAGGTGTCTGATGTGTGAGAATGTGTGTGTGCCAAACTCGGGCACAAGTGTGTGTGAGAGTATGGGTGTATATGTGTGAACACACGGAGTGTATGTGAGTCAGTATGGGGCGTGTGTGAGTGTGGGATTGCACAACTGTGCATTTAAGTGGAAGTATGGGTAGTGAGTGTGTGTGTGCATGCGTGTGGGCTGTGTGGCTCGACCACGGAGGGTGCATGAACTCGTCGTACGAGTGTGTGTGGAGTGCGGACATGTGTGAGTTCATGCCTCTGTGACCGTGTGAGAGTCGTGGATGTGTGCACGCGCAGGGGAGGTGTGTGCACGCACGACGATGTGTGAGGGTGTGGGTGTCAGGTGCGTGTGTGCGTGTTGGTGACACGGTCACCACTGAGCTCGGTCACATCCAAAGGGGGAACCCAGCACGGGGAGGCCTGGGATCTGGCTGCGCAGGAGGGACCACGGTGACTTCGGGTCCTCTGTGTGCACGGCCCGGAGCTCAGGTCTGGGCCGCGGCTCCGCCGTCGTGTCCGGCGTTCCTGTGTGTCACGTGGTCCCATGGTAGGCTCACACCACGTTTGCTCTGTTGCGGGCACCACGCTGCTTCTGTACGTACTGACTCATCTCCACCGGTGCCTACGCCTTGCTCACCTGCGTACAACCTAAAAAAAGTGAAGGCCGTCAGCATGCCCACCGAGCCACGTGTGAGCCGGGGCGTCGGGGTGCGGGGAACCCGGCTGGACCCGGGGGCTGTGGGAGGCCGCGATTTCTGGCACAAAGAACCAGGTCCCGGCCCCCGGGGCCGGGACCGGCTCCCAATAGCACGCTGGTCGTTCTGCCAAATGCCCTGTGGCTTCTGGCATCCAGGGGGCTGTGGGGCGGGTGACTTTCTGGGTGGTTTTTTTAAAGCCTTTGCCCACAACCCCGTTTCTGACGTAAAGTGAAACACCGCTGCGCGTTGTCTGCTTCCCTCGAGTCGGTCTCGACGCCGTGGCACCAGGCCTTTCCCGGCGAGGAGGGCCTGCTGCGGCCTGGGTCTGTCCCCACACCTGCCTCAGCTGCGGCCTATCTTGGCAGGAGAACGTATCCCTGGCCGACATCCTGTCGCTGCGGGACAGTGGCCTCAGCGAGCAGGAGGCGTGGGCCGTGTGCCTGGAGTGCAGCCTGTCCATGAGGAGCGTCGCCCACGCGGCCATCTTCCAGACCCTGTGCATCACACCAGACACTCTGGCGTTCAACACCAGCGGGAACGTGTGCTTCATGGAGCAGCTCAGCGGTGAGCCTGGGGCGGCGGCGGGGGCAGCAGAAGGTGCCTTTGGGGAGAAGGTGGACACAGGGTCCCGCCCCGGCCCCCCGGATCGCAGCGGCTGCCCTGGTGGGATCTCCAGCCCCAAGAACCGCTGAGGGAGAAGGAGGTGGGAGGCCCCCCCGGGCTGTGTCACGGCTCCTGCAGGGGACCCGCATGGGGCCCGCCGGCCCTGAAGCCGCCGGCCCATGGTGAATGGTTGTGGGGCGTGAGGCCGAGGGCGTGGTGGCCAGCGCAGGGGGCCCCCCGCTGCCTGCCCAGCCTCCAGGGTTCCCGCAGCCCCTCCCCTGCTCCAGGGAGGGCCGGAGCGGACAGCCCGACTTTCCCCAACTGGCTCCTTCAGTCCCCTTCTCTGGGAGGCCGGGAAAACCCTTCTCCTTCCTCCTTGGACGGCTTCCCCGGGCTTCCCGTGAAGAACGAGGTCTTCCTGTTCAAGCACTGTTTCCTCTGACCCAGGCCCCTGGGACGCCAGGACGGAAGGGGCCCCTGGGGAGCGGGAGGCCACAGCTCCTGCCCGCCTGGCTTCCTCCTCACCATTGGGCCTTGTGCGTGTGTGATCAGAGGCCTTCTCTTTTCCTTCCCCAGATGACCCCGAGGGCGCCTTTGTGCCCCCCGAGTTCGATGTGACCGGGAACACCTTCGAGGTGGGTGGCAGCAGGCGGGGGCACCTGCGTGCAGGGCACGGGCTGGGCTCGGGGGGCTGCCTTCGGCGCACCCCCACCTTTGTCAGACTCGGGGTCCCCAGCGGCACCGTAAGCTCCAGTGGCCGCTTGGTGTGTGGACACGTGCTTGTCATTATATTTGTCGAGTATGTTTCCCGGGTGTGAACATCACTGTATTTCACGTGTTCAGAGGGCCTGAAGTTGCTAGTGGTGGCTGGGGGGGAAGCACAGCGTCTCCGAGGGAAAGAGCGGGGCAGTGGGATGGCAACACCCGGCAGAGACACGTGGCCTGTGGGCGATACCCCGAGGCAGCCGCGCTACCTCGCTCTGGGCTCAGGTCACCACCCCCTGGGCACCCCTGTGTGCATGCTGGGGAGCGTGGCTAGGGGCACCAAGAATGGGGTGGTGGCACTCTCCCCTGAGTGCCGCGCTGGGCTCCCCCAGATCGCCGTTCACAGCTCCCATCTCCGTGGAGCCTGCAGTCTGAGGTGGGCGGAGAAAAATCAATCGTTAACGAGTAATTACAAACTCAAAAATTTCAGGGAAAACCCATTAGCTTAGTGACGTTAGGTTAAATTTTAACCCCAAAATAAGAGTTTTGGGATTGGCTCCTCCTCTGCTCTACTTTACTTTACCTGAAACTAGCAACCAGCCCCTTCCCCTGAGAGGCCCTCGTCCACGCTCCAGTGGCAGGCAGGACCGCAGGGCCCTGGGTCGCTGGTGGATCGGGTCTCTCTGATTCCCTGGACCTCGGGGGCCAGAACCAGAGCCCAGGTGGCCTTTGGCTTGGGGCAGCTCCCAGCCCTGGTCCATGCACAGACTTCCTTAGTTTACCTGCATGTTTAACACCAGAACCAACAAGAAACTAAAGCCCTGCAATAACGAACGTTCTCCCAGTGCCGCCCGCCTCCGTGCCGCTGGGCTGTTCCTAAAAGCAGTGTTGTTTGGTGTGTGCTGGTTTTCACATTCGAAGAAGAGTGTCGCTACACGTTATCTTCTGGAACTGTCTCTTAACGTGTTTCTGGACGATGCGCCTGAACCCAGCGGGAGGTCACGTGTAGCCCACGGCTCATGGGAGCATTGTGCCGCCCTGCACAGCCTTGGTGGATCTGGGCAGGAGCTCCTCCCAGGTGTGGACCTGGCCACGGGACGGCCACACAGCGGGGCAGGCGGTGTTCCATGGTCTCCAACAGTGGCTGCACCAGAGTGTGCTCCCGCCAGCAGGTGCCACGGGCCCCCAGCTCCATGTGGCTGAGAAGGCCCATTTTCCATGCAGTCGTTACGCTTTTCTTTATATATTTCCACCCATTTTGTCAGGATGGCAATGTCTCCTCTGCGATGTGTCTTCACGCTCTCCGTAAGACGGCGAGCGGTTCTCAGGACCCTTCACACTCCTGAAAATGACTGAGTAGCCAGAGAGCTTTCCGTGGTGCAGGTCAAGCCTACCAGTGTGTGTTACAGCTTAAACTGAGACACCTGCAAAATGCTTACCTATGAGTTCATTTAAAAGCAATTATAAGCCGTTGCATGTTAATACACAACATATTTTTATGAAAAATAACAGTATTTTTCCCCAAAAACACAGTGAGAAGAGTAGGGCTGTTTCAAGTATCTGCCCACCCTTTAATGTCGGGCTCTGTGGAAGCCAGCTGGTTTTCATGGCAGCTCCGCCCTTGGCGAGGTCCCCGTTGGGGTGTCCCCGGAGCAGAGCCTCTGGAAGGTCCGGGGTGCACTCGGCTGGAACAAGAGCGTCGGTCTGGCGTGCTGAGGGTCGTCCGCCTTGGGAACCACACTGTCGGGAGGGCCACTAAAGGGCCTCCTATGAGGGAGGAGGTCTCTCCAGTTTAATGGAGTCAAGTTTATTCATGTTTTCTTTGTTAGTATTTTTTGTACCTTAAGAGACCTTCCCAACTCCAAAGTCTAGTGGAGGTTTGCTGATATCTTCTACCAGGAATTTAAAAATTTTGTTCTTCACATTCGAATTGCTTGAAGATGACTTTTCTCGGTAGTGTGAGGTAAGGACCAAGTTTCCTCCCTTTCCGTGTGGATACGCATTCCCACGGATGCTGGCCGCAGGTGCACACACAGCAGGCCCGACAGCAGAGTGGGCCCGTCCTCTCGGGGAGGACGCCCGCTCCTGTCCTTCCTCAGAAGTGTTCTCACTATTCTTGGCCCTCTGTTCTTGCACATAAGTGTTAGAATGAGTTATCCAGTTCCACGAAAAGCTGTTGGCATTTTGACTGGAATGGCACTGAATCTATCAATCCCTTTGGGGAGGAGGCAATCTTTATAATATAGGGTCTTCTGCATAAACCCTTTTACCTCCTCACTTAGTCAACGCCTCAGTAACATTGAGTACTGTTTCCTGTAGGAGTCTGGGATACCCTTTATTAGTTGATTCTCAGGAATTTGGTATTTTCTGCTTACATTCTAACTTGGAGGTCATCTTTGTGATTGCATTTTTCTGCTTGTTTGTTGCTGGTCTACAGAACACAATTCACTTTAATATCTTAATCTTCTGTCCAGCCATCGTGCTGAATTCTTTTGTTATTTCCCATAACTTACAGGTTCTTTAGTTTTTCTATCTAACTGATCAGATCACCGGCCCGGGCGGAGGTTTTGCGTCACGTTTCCATTCCTCGTCTTGCTGTGTGTCACAAAGCTGCTCACGTCGCCAGCCGCGTGGTGTGGCCAGCGCACCTCCTGCTCGGGGACACGGGCTCTGAAAGCAGCGTTTCTCTCCCCGCCCTCAGCCAGGACGTATTTGCTACACAAGGCCCTCTCTGCCGGTCATCATGCTCTACCGTGAACGTACCTTGGGTTTTATGAAAGTGCTTCTGCATCCTTTGAAATGGCCATTAAGATTTTTAATATTTACGTACTTATTTTCTAATGTTAATTCAGTCCTTCTTGCTTAGAAAACCTAAAGTGGCCAGGTGTCTTATCTTTTTAATACACTGTCACGTTCAATCTACAGATGCCTACTTTGGCGTTTTGTGCTGTTTCTGACCATGTTGGGGGCAGGACTGTCCCAGGCTGTGCGGGCGCCCCTTCCTCTGCCTGTAAGAGTTTATGTAACAACGGGGCGCTCCGTGTCCAAGGTCCGGTCACACTTACTCATCAGGACACTTGTCTCCTTGGAGGGAAATCTTTTTTTTGCTGCTCAAGTTTTAATAGTTACAGGATTATCTGTTTTGTATTTCTCATTGAAAGGTCTCTGGTAAACTATATATTTCTGAAGTTTATCCATTTTTACTTGTTTTTTCAGTTGTTGGCAGTTGGTTGCAGTGTCCCTTGTTGATCACTGCACTGTCTGTGGAACGTTGGAGGACTTAAATTCTCTTTCCTTCACTTGTCAGTCTCACCAGTGGGTATTTATTTGGTTAGTTTTTTCAAAGACCCCACTTCGTACCACATGATCTTTCCTGATGTCTCTTTGTTTTCTTTTCCCACTGATTCTGCTGGTACTTTTCATTTTCTTTTCCTTGTTTTGAGTGTGGCAAGCGTTCCTTCTCTGCTGTTCTACTGTGAGTCAGACACTCAGCTCCCCTGTCTTCGGTCTTTCTTCCTTTGTAACGTGAACATTTATATCCAAGGCCATGAATTTCCCTCGAAACACGGGTTTTGCTGCATCCTGTGAGTTTTGCCAGGTAGCATTTGTAGTTCCCTCTTCCTCTAAGTATTTCTTTTATTCCCACTGGGGTTTCTTCTTAGCCTGAGTTGTTTAGCAACAGGAATGGGTTGAGTTTTTCCTGACTTTTTATTGAGATATGAAACACATACCGAGACACACACACGTCACAGGCATGCAGCTCGACGAGCTTTCACAGACTGAGCACCCTAATCCAGCATCCAGAGCAGGAAGCAGAGCATGCCAGCACCCTGCAGGGCACGGAGCCAGGCGGGGCCATGACGGGGTCCACACTCCAGCCTGTCCACAGCGGCAGATGGGGGCTCCCAAGTCTTTAATGCTTCACATCTCTGGAATTGTCCTACGATAAAGTCTTGTTTTCTGAGTTGCCTTAATTCCCAGTGGGTGATAGGTGATTTTCTCTGGTTTTCCACCCACAGAGCAAGCAAGTCCTTCTTACCCGACGCGTGAAAAGGGCCTGCCGGTGTGCACTGCCGCCTTGGGCCCAGTGTTTGCACGCAACCCCCATCAGGCCTGTGATTCCAGGGTCTCTGTTCTACTCTTGGACAAGCTTCATTCCAGTGTCTGTTCCTGGGGCTAAGTTCCCCCCTAAGTGCTGCATTGTGGAGACCCCAGGAGTAGTTGCACATGTCACGTGGACTTACCACGTCTGCCCAGGTGCCCATTCCTGCCTGCAACCTGGGGCCACAACCCCCTGCCCACGAGGACCACGGTGGCAAATGCACCTTCTTGGTGCCACTCCCAGCAGGGTCAGGCCCTGCTGCTGTCGACCAGGCCGCCTCCGGCCCCGACCTCGGGGTCTCTGGACTGTGGCAAGGGTGCAGCGTGTTGGGTCGTGCTTGCTGGCCATGTCAAGACTGAGCCCACTGTCCTCCCTACAGAGAGGACAAAGATAGGGAGCAGTTTTCCTGAGCCCTCTAGTCCTCACACAGAATTCCCCCTTGTGACCCTGCCCACCACCCCACCCACTGCTGGGATGATGTCTCAGGCTCCCCCAATCCCCAGATGCATGGCAGCTGGCCCTCCTGGGACCATCCCCTGTACGTCCCAACCCTTGCCCAGGAAACCCCAGAGATGGGCTAGTTTCCAAAAGCTAAAACTATGACCATGGCCAGCATTCAAGCCCTGCCCCAAGCAAGCCCCAGACCCTCACAGGACTCTTTTCTGAACCTGGTCACCATGAGCATGTTCGGGCTCCAGTGGAGCCCAGCCAGGACGACCTCGACACCCACCACCCACCATTACTGTCCACTGTCACTCGTCCACAGACATGTGTGTCAGGCCTCACAGTGAACAGAGCAGATGGGCTCCTGCCTCGTGGGGATCTTGG